AATTAAGATGATTCTGCAAAGTTATTAACAGTTATTAAGAATGGTATGTATTGTTAGAAGGTTCTCCACATACTATTATTCTTTCATCATAGGAATTAAGATGATTCTGCAAAGTTATTAACAGTTATTAAGAATGGTATGTATTGTTAGAAGGTTCTCCACATACTATTATTCTACATACTATTGTGAATTAACAGTTATTAAGAATAATATGTACTCTTAGAAGTTTTGTTAACAGTTATTAATGGTAGTATGTATTGTCAGAAGGATTTCTTCTTGTTAAATGTTTGGGTAAGGTTTTGTTATGTATAACCCGTGGGTTTTCGTTTGTTTTGTTTTCCAGGAAGAAGCTGCTGCTGTGAAGGCTGCAGGGAAAGCTTGGTATAAGACCATGGTCAGCGATAGCGATTATACTGAATTTGAGAACTTCTCGAAGTGGCTCGGTGTTAGCCAGTAGAGAACTTCATTAATCCGGCTCTTCGATCATCTTTTCCTTCAAAATCTTGTTGATTAGTTGGTTTGTGAATTTGATCTGTTGTTTAAGGGCATGTTTTCTGCTATAGTTCACTTGGGAAGCTCTTTTTTTGATGTTATAGATTATGAGGTTGGGTAAACTCTTGGCTGGTTTGTTATGCATCGGTTTTTTTGGCAGCTAATGTATGGTTTTCATTAATTTATTTCAGTACATTGATCCATTTATTCTGCTTTGTTTCCATGTTTTGTTTTCCTGAATCAGACTACTTTGTTCGTCCACTTCCAAATTGTTCTTGAGGGATGATCTGCGACTGTTTTTGCGTGTGCCACTTCAACTTCCTCGTGGCACACATGATTTTGGGGTACCTTTTTAAGGAGTTGGTTCACACGAAATAGATTCAAAACAGTAAATGTTGCAACATATTTACAATGTTTGGTTTACTACCAAGTAGTTGGTTATGGTAATTTAATGTACTTTTTGTTAAAAAAACATTATAGCATTTGTTGTAGAAAATTTTGTTGCAACAGACGTTGCAAGTCTTGCATTATCTAAAAAATCAGCGCCGTGCCAGCAAAAATTAGTGAATTTTACATTTAAAAATGAGAAACAAACACATCATTGCAGTGAATATGCATTTTCTACTAAAAAAGTATAAATCTAACGACTTTTGCAACAAATCAAACATTACTCCCAAATCAAATTACACATGCAGTGGACCAAATAGTCTCTTAGTTTCATAGAGCTGGATGTGATGTGGAAGATCTCTGAGTTGCTGGTTTTAGATGTAATTTTGTACAGGAGCTTTCTTGTTCTTGAGAAAACAATTCCGATTAATGTTTTGGAAGCTATTTTACGTAATCGGTAAGAGGCAATGTGCAGAGTAGTTCATCTTGAACAACTTATTTTGAAATGTCTACTTCTTTTGCCCAACTTATTTGTGTCCCTCCTATTATGTCTGTTGACTTTATAGTCCTCTATCATCCAATTTTATGCAAGAATTGCCATGAGGAGGAGCTGTTTAGTTATTTGTTTTGGTCGTACGCTAAAGGGGATTCGCAAGCCAGTTTACGATAGGGCCTGTTTGGTTGATTTCCTAAAATCAAAGAAAAGGAAATAAGATATGGTAACCATTAGAAGTTGATTTTCATCCATTTTCTTAAAAAAAAAATCATGAAATGTGTTTCCTTAATAAGAGTTACAGCGTCCAATAATATGGTGACAACTCATCTCATCTCATTTCTTTTTTTTAGTTTTAAAAAGTGAATCAAACACAAAAATAGAACTTATTATAGGAAATAAGATTCTTATGATTGATTTCCTTGTTCTTTTAGCCAACCAAACAGCGCCTACATGTATAGCAGAAAGAGATATATGTATAATCAACGATAAATAACTCGACATGAAAAGAAACAAGGCATCAAACTCGTAACACAAGATTTATTAATGAAAAACAAAACTAGGCTAAAGCTTCAGCAGAGCGACGCCTGCAATATTCTACCAGATCTTTTTTAAACCTTTACAATCTCTATCTCTCACGGAATGACATGTAGATTGCTGCTGCTTGAATGGAAAGAACAACCTAAGTGATGGTCAGCTCTCCCAAGAAAAGGCCAGGTGATGCTTAGGCTATAATCACTCATTGTACTAAAACTTGGAATAATTTGAGAGACTAGAACTCTCATTTTTGTATAGAAAAATAAAAAAATGGGATAATTTTGTACGATTATCCCAATTCTAGTTTTGTTAGAGTTCTACTTGACTAACACTGTAAAATTTTGTTCTAATTTTAGTTCTATGTGACTAACACCTTAAAATTTTATCTCACAGATTATCTCAGTTCTAATTTTAAGTTCTAGGTGACTACCCCAACTCGTTATTTAAATATTTAATTGAAAGAAGGTAACCGCTAAGGTAAAGTATAGATAGACAACACATGGAAATTTGAAAAATGAAGAACTTGACTTAGTTTGATTTTCTCAATTATGGTTTTCTTTAAAAAGTGCCATTTTTATATGTTTGGCTATGATTAGTAATGCTGAGGAACAACCAAAGGAATTTACATACTCCAGTCCTAGTTAATATTAGAAAGCATATTGACACCAAAATAGATCTTGCAGATGGTTGGGGACTGGGGGGATTCGAACCGGGGTGCAGCGGACTCCAAAAGGGAGTTTAAGTGGAGGTGCTGACCGGGGTTCCCTCGTCACCAAAAAAAAAAGAAGGTGAAGGAAATAATAACTTAGTCAAAAATGACAAATTAATGAATGTGATCACACAAGACAAAAGAAGAAGGTGAAGGAAATAATAACTTAGTCAAAAATGACAAATTAATGAATGTGATCACACAAGACAAAAGATATAGGAGTCGAAATTTGAATTGTAAATTGATGCCTCAAGATAAAGATTTGGTAACCTTTACAAATCTTTTTCCCTCCTCTCTTAAAGAAAAAGCTAATTCAAACTCATCATAAGATCTACTTTTTTATTTTTATTTTGATGGAACGGTGGAAGGATTTTATTGATTAATCATGTCATGCATTACATATTTTGTCAATATCATAGGCATTGAATTCTCAAATATCCCAGTACAATTATAAGATTTTGCTGCTTGAGGCCAACATATGAGCTACTTGGTTTCCATATCAAGACACAAAAGAAAAGCTATATATAGCTGGAAGCTAGTGCTTATGTCTTGCAATTCATTGATAAGTCCTGCCTTGTTATGGTTTGGTTTGCGAGCTTCTTGCAATATGTGGATGAGCTCCCTTGAGTCTGTTTGAAAAATCATATTTTTGGGACTTTCATTGCTAATAATTCTAGATAAGTTAAAGAAATTATAATAATTATTTAATTTGAAAGAAATCTCTTGAAGGATAAGTGAGGTCGAAATAAGTACGTTACACGCCTGTAGTACAAAAATTGTTAATGCAAATCCTGACTCTATAAAGTTTGAGATCTTGATGTCTTCCCAATCAAAGTTTGAAAATCCATATTGCCTGCAATTGCAAGAGAGCTTACGGAAGAGCCTTAACTAATTGGAGTATGACATGATTTATTTCCCTTTTTATTTATTATTTACAAGTATATGCATACCATAAAAAAATTTGTAAACGCAAAACATTTTATTATGCTTTATTTCGATAGCTTGAAGAATTGTCAATCATAAAAAAATTTGTAAACGCAAACCATTATATTAGACTTTATTCAGACGGCTTGAAGAATTGTCAATTATATTGCACAGATTACCTAACGTGCAAGTTACTGGTTATCAAGGAACAAGATTAAAACCATCCCAACACCAAAATGATACCATATATTTTAGTGAAAATATTGCCACAAGGGAATACTAACTAAGGTAAAATACACATTTTTTATCTCTTTTAGTTTTTCTAATAATGGCAAGAAGAAACAAAGCCAGATAAGAGGATATAATATATCACCACATTTTTATCATAGGAAAAAATCTCACTTGCGAGACAAATTCCATCAATGAGACAGTACAAGCGTTCCAATGCTCAAAACTCATTACACGATTTACTGAGTGACAAAATTAATTAACCTAAAAAATTAAGATAAAGTTTAGTTTTCGAATTGTTGGGGTCCTCTTTGGATAAAGGACACCCTCCAAAAAGTAGCGTATGCTGCTTGAATGTGGAGAGCACACGGTATTCTTTAGTAAAAGGCGAAAGAATAGTTCGCTTTGTGCTCACCACGCAGCTGCGTGCCTTCTAAACGAGTCCAGGCCCGTTACTTTATAGCCCGACACCCCCATGACTCCTCTGAATTTGTCGATGTGGGACTAAACTGAAAGCAAAATCATCAAGCGAAAACTGGAACCCTTTCTTTCTCCCCCATTCTGTTCTCTCTCTCGCTCGGGTCCAGCGAGGGCGTCCATCTCCCTTCGCCAGCCACAGAACACGGCAATTTTTACTTCATTATGCTCTGCCTTCATTTCTTTACCTTTTGCCCTCGTAATGCAAAATATCACTTCCTCATTTATGGAAAACGGTTGAAATTACATCTTTGTGAACAACTATCGTTGTAATCCTTTTGATACCAAAACTAAAGTATAATCCTAAATCATGCTGAGTACAAGTCTAAGTTGCCAATAGATTCTTATATCTCGTAAGTTAAGTAGTTCAATTCAGAATTATTAGAACCGCTTGGGCAAGTCAAAATAGCCCAAACGGTTAAACCGTTTGGGTTAATTATTCCAAACGGTTTAAACCGTTTGGATTAATTATTCCAAACGGTTTAAACGTTTGGGCTATTGAATAAATCTAAACGGTGATTGCAATTCAGCATTGTGTTTACGCCATTGTTCGTTCCACTTCTGAAAATGAATTCTGCCTACTTTGCTCACCATCATGTTTAGTCTGTCATCACCAATATTTTAATCCAATTCATATTTGAGATTTTGAAAAGTTATTTTTGAATTTGTTATAGGATGGACATAAGATCATAGAGTCAGGATCAAGAAGAAATATTTTGAGGTCTAGAAAGTGAGAGACAAAAAAGAGCAAGGATGGATTATATGACATGGACTGAAGCAGAGGCTAATGATTTGCTTAGACTGTTAGTAGAGGAAGTTAAGAATGGAAATAAGCAAGCAAATGGTAGTTTTAAAAAGTATGTGATTATGAGGAATGTGATACCCCCTCTAGTTGAAAAATTTGGAAAAGATTTTAGATATAATCATGTAATGAACAAGATAAAGCAATGGAAGAGAAAGATTGCACCTGTGGAGATCCTGATGAAAAATAACTCTGGTTTTGGTTGGGACCCTAGCACACAAAAATTTACTTGTCCAGACGAAGTGTGGAATGGCATTTTAGAGGTTGGTTTATGTCATGTTATTTCATATATATTAATTTGAGCATAATATTAATTATTTTCATATGTCATGTTTAAGCACGTCCAAATACTCCAAATCTCAAAGATAAACTTTTTGAGAATTTTGAGGATATACTTATGGTATGCGAAGATCATGGCGCTTCTGGCAGAGGAGCTATAGGTTTAGGTCCTGATGGCTTGGATGAAGCACGCTTAGAGGAAGTGGTTGGGGAGGGCATACTTGGTGCTGATGCTGAGATGGAATCTCCGGATGGAGGAGATGCTACTGTAGATATGCAACATGCTGCCACCGTTCCCAGTGATAATATTCCATTTTCTGCTTCTGGACCATCCACTCTGAATAATGGTAAACGAAGGCGTAGGTCAATTAGTACTGCAGCCACATCCTCTGCATCTTCCCAGTCGTTGCAAGAGGTAGGAGAGGGAGTTGTCACTGTAGGTAAAGCTTTTTATGAGTTAGTTGATGAGTTGAGGAAGATAAGAAAAGGTCGGAATAAAGAATGGGTTGATGCTGTTATGTCTACTTCTAAATTGACTAAGCCACAAAAAATGGAATATACTCAGTGACAATATCTCACAGGACATGAAGGATGTAAGGACCATGAATTTTGATATTAGTTAAAATATTTTTCTAGTATTTTAAAATATTTAATTATGATTTTTAAAAGAGTATTTATATTTTTCTCGAATTTTTACAATTTTTTTATGATTTAAAGTCTAAGTTTTATATTTATTTAAATGAGATTTATCCGACCCGGTTACTGTGAGTATATATCTGTATGTTATCATGTTTAGTATAGAAATCCATTTTTATATTTCGTCTTTTATTTAATTCCGAGGACGGAATTTGTTTTAAGGTGAGTAGAATGTAATGACCATAAAGTTTTAATACTGATTTACATAACGTTCCTGGTATTTAAATATTAAAATTTATTATTAAATAGAGTATTTATATTTTAACCGATTTTCTAAAATTTAAATGATTTGAAAATCAGCTTTTATATTCAATTAGATAATTATAAATTAAATTATCCTTAATTGATTTTTGTAACAATGTAATTAGTTTTGTATATTCATTTTTCGTTTTAATAATAATAGTTAAATATTATTACACTTCCCCTCTCACTCCACTCTCCCCGAAATAATCGCCATGTTTTCCCCATCCCCCACGTTCTCCTGTTCCATCACCACATTTTAATCCTCTCTTCATTCACTCTCTCACTATATATATATATATACATATATTCCCCTCACTGTACCCACACATCAAAAACAGCACCCCTCTCTCTCACGTCCTCCACCCTCTCGTTCACGAATTCTAACCAACACGCCACCATCACCATCTCGTTCTCCTCCGAGAACCCGTCCTCAGCCGCTCGAAACCACCGCCGGCAAGCCATCAAAGCCAAGCAGCTACCGCCAGATCCAGACCCGAACGACGTCCCTCACCTCCGCCTCCTTCCCCGCTGTGTTGGCTTTGTAATAGGATCGGCCTGCAGTATCAAACCTGTAAATAGAGATAGGCTGATTTCTGGGAGAACGGACAGCAGCAAAGAACGGAGGACAGGGGACAAACTCCTGGGCGTTTTCTTCTTTCAGGCTCTGTTTTGGTGGATTAACAGAGGCCGGAATAATGACCTCCTGTTTTGCTGACGAACACAAAAAATAGATGGAGCAGGAACTTTTTTAAGTTTTATTGACGTTCTAAAAAAAACAAAGACTTGTTTACATATATATAAACACTTAGGGATAAGATTACAACTCTAATCTTTATCCAATAACTAGAAAACTCTCTACTAACTAGTATTCTATTCTAACTAGAATTCTATCCACTAACTAGGATTCAAACTACCAATCCGGACTTATAAAAATATATAAAAGATTCTAAGTTATGCAACTAATTAGTTTTGAAGGGCCTACGATACAAGTTACATAGAGGAAGGAAATCTTAGGTTATGCTTGTGCTTGTTGGCTTTTGAAATAGGATCGGCCTAAGTTTTAGCCTGCAAGCACAAGAGAGATTGCCGAATTTGTTGAAGAAGGTGTTGCTGCAGGAAAAGACAGAGGCTACTTTGATATGTGGCCGAAAAAACAGAGAGAAAGAGAGGATTCGGTGGAGGAGTTTTTTACTCTTCTTATTTTCGTTTTTTTTAAAACACAAAGACCTGTTTACATATATATAAACACTTAGGGATAAGATTACAACTCTAATCTTTATCCAATAACTAGAAAACTCTCTACTAACTAGTATTCTATTCTAACTAGAATTCTATCCACTAACTAGGATTCAAACTACCAATCCGGACTGATTAACAAACTCACATTCTCCCCCTTAATCTGGACGAGATTCCAAGTCCCTTACTCCTAGAAGCTCCCGCATCTCGATGAACTTCACCCTTGCTAGTGCCTTCGTGAGAATATCCGCTCGCTGCTCGCTCGTGCTCACGAACTCCACTTTAATCTGTTCTCGCTCAACACACTCACGAATGAAGTGAAAATGTGTGTTGATATGCTTACTTCTTCCATGGAAAACTGGATTTTTCATCAAGGCAATCACGGACTTGTTGTCGAC